TTGTGTTGACCGGTGTAGTATCATACAAGAAGCTTGATAGTCCTGCGCCATTATCTGTAGCTGTAAATGAAACAGGAATGAGATGGTTAGGAATTATTGTGGATCTCGGTGCAGTATGTGGTCTGATATCTGTCATTCTCGTTTCATTAATGGGACAACCACGAATTTTCTTGGCGATGGCAAAGTAATTTGTCTTAATTTTATGTTTTATTTTAAATCATTTCAAAATGTTTTAATATATTTCACGATATATAGTGATGGGTTATTTTTACCTGGAATTGCTTCAAAAATTCATCCTCGATTTGGTACGCCATACATAATAACTATAATTGGTGGTGCAATTTGCGCTATAACAGCTGCGCTGTTCCCAATAGAGATACTCGCTGAATTAACATCAGTTGGTACGCTGCTAGCTTTTTTCTTAGTTAACATAGGGGTAATGATATTAAGGCTTAAGGCCCCAAATGCACGTAGAAACTTCAAAGTACCGGGTGGTCCATTTTTAATCCCGCTGATAGGTGCTGCATTAACTCTATTAATATTGGCAACGGCATCACCTGCAAGTATTAGTAGATTGTTTATTTGGATGGCAATAGGATTGGTAGTATATGTATTTTACGGAAGGAAACACTCTAAAGCTAATAATCAACCGTTGATAGATAAAGAGCAAGGCATGGAGATGATGCCTACAAACGAGTCCAGAGAGCAAAGTGAAGACGCAGAGACAAGTCGTACTAAAATCACAAAAAACGTTTAATAATATCAAATTGCATACTAGCTTTTATTTTATTTTTTTTAGACTTCTTAAAATTTAGATATGTAATTTTGTACGTTGCTAATAATTTATAATTTATTGGCGTCGGATTCTTCGTTGTGTATTGAAACATATGTTGAATTTGTATAAAATATTTGGTACAATAATATGTGAGTTCATGCATTTCAAAACTTAAGGCAGATGCCGAAACTTGGACCTATTTTAATACAAAATTTTAAATCTTTTGGGCGTTTTTTTTTTTTTAAGTCGCGCTAAGATTTAGTATTAAGATTGTTAATAAAAGAGCATATGAGATTTTAGTCAGATTTATATTTATCAGCTGCGACAACTAATAAGGTTATATAATTTGCTAGCTAACTAAACTTCTTGAAATTCGCTTAAATTTTCAAGACGCTGTTCCTTAAATTTGTGAGAAGGATCCGAGTGTTCTTGAGCATCTTAAATAAGTAGTAAATAATGTAATAGAAATTATAGAAATTTTATTTTTTTGTGCGCAAAAAAGCACAACAATCTCATACGAAAATGTATACGTATACCAACCGCCGGATTCATCAATCAAATAATCTAATCTATTTACGATTCCTGACCCGGAACATGATGGATCAAGTAAGATATAGCATACACTAGAATATTTTGGATCCAAGGGATCAACATCCAAAAAAGATCCATGAATAGCTTCAACATCTATAAATCAAATGTAATTTGTGGTTAAACAACTCAATACGAAAAGAAATTATTATAAACAATTTATAGAATTTTATACTTTTGCACCCAGCTTTTTGTATAAATATCTTAAGCAAATTTAATCGGTGTTTAACAAAATCAAAAGCCCATATTTTTCCTGTATTTTGCATTATGGCTGATAGATGTGAAGTTTTATTTCCAGGCGCTGCGCACGCATCAATCACATGCGAATTGAAAGATGGTGAGCAAACAAATGCAGGAATACATGAAGCTTTATCCTATACATGTTATCAAAGATGACAAATATCAACTTACGCGCGTAATTTAAAAGATAAATGCGCAAAGAAATACCTGTAGAATGATGTCACCAGATAAATATAATGCATCTTTATGAAGATCCGTGTTTGATGGTAATATTAAAAGATCAGGCAAATGCCTATCTTTTCGAATTGTTTTAGGGCTTTATTTAAAAAAGAAATTCACAAATCACGAAAGAAATGATTCAAAAACCGTAAATTCAAAATTTACAATGCGTCTTCAGGTATTATTATTCTTACTACCATATGTTAGTCAAATCATCAATAGGATCCTCATGAGTAAATCCTTTTGCTTGAAAATGCTTTATAACCTTTTCAACCGACGTTTTAAGTGTATTTACGCGAAGATATCGCGGGATTACAGCTATAACGAAATAATATTTAATAAGAAAACAAATCAATTTGAAAAAATCATATTATAATTATTCACTTATTTTTTAACACGTACCCAACTCTCGAATTTCTGATTTTATTAAATCTTCATTGTTTTTAACCCTCAACTTAATTTTAATTCTGGCAAGTTCTGCTCTTAATCTTATTTCATGCCGTAAAATTGATTGTTTATAAGGCCCATTTGATAACGATTTAATTCCATTCGGGGAAAATAAAAGATCGTGAACTAGAAGCATGGCGATATTTCTTGGAAGCTGACATATATATAATCAAAATAGATAAATATATGTTTATTGGTATTCTTTGAAAATGAAGATATAAACCAGCCGTTAATTGAACCTTTTTCTCAGCATCAAATATTTGGGAATTATCCATAATTGTATTGATTATATCTTTGTCTTATTTCGAAAAAGTAAAGTCATTATATTGGATTACTCGGTATATTTAAAATAAAGTTCACGAAAAACGGAAAAAATTCTACGATTGACCTTACATTTTAAAGTCTCACATATTAGTGCATACATCTTTTTCTTCTCTTTAACATTATCGGCTAGTGTAAGACTTTTAATCGTACCCTTATGTGCGAATAATTTATCTAAAATGTTTGCCGCTTGTATATAAAAATTCATCATTAAATTCCTTTGCGAACAACGTATACATCCAATGATCACAAATGCTTGATTGTTGAAAAAAAAAAATTTTTTTAAATCCAAAATTCTCAATTTTTATTGGTCTGCTAGATTTCAATCGCAACTTTTTCTTTCGTATCCACAATTTCAATCTGACTTCTGTATTTTCTATCTCCTTATATATTAATTATCCATAACTGTTAGCCACGTGATAACACCAATTTATCAATCGTTATCTGTTATTTTAAATTATATATAATTTTTAATTTACTCTATATAACTCATTAAATATTATATATATATATATATATACTACGAATATAACGTTAAAATTATAATCAAACACTAATTTATATATTTAACCAATAGATATATTACTCGTTAAATATCCACTTAGAATATAGAGCACAAAAGTCTGTTGTTAAATGAAATAAAGTCAGAACGCGACAAAAATACAAACTTAAAACTTACACCAGACATGCAACATGTTTAGAAGTAGAAACATTCTAATTGTCTTAGACGAAAGCTTCTCATTTCTTTAAAAAGATCATTTGCAATTAATCTTTTGGTTTCTCACCGTAGTTCACCAAATTAATAGGCCAATTATTATAACACCAGAAAGCATATTATGTTGCTTGTCAGGCACCCTAATAATATAGACAAATTATAATGAGTAATTCGAGTTGTTGCACAGTGGTTATGTGTTTCATTCAGAATTCGGGATATCGAATCTCAAAGATTTAAAGTGATATGGGAATCAAATATAATATAGAGGACCCTATTATAAACCAATTGGTTAATATTTGATCCTAATATGATATGGTTTACATAGCATAGTTGCTTTTAGAACAGTTTGTTTACTATATGAGACCATATTGCATTATGCTATTAAGATGAATGTAACCAAGTCATGCAATTGTAACATAGATCCTAACAACGACAAGCAAGGATTTTATAACGGGTTTGAAAAATATCACTAACTTATTTATTCATTTTTTAAAGTGTTGTGTTGA